TGACCAGTCCTCACATTTATGACCTTGGCAGATTTGTAAAGCAAAGAAAGGTTGAATATCATAAGCACAGTGACAGTTTTACTAATGACCACTTCATTTAATGAGTTAATGACTAAGTTGCTGGCCCCAAATATTGTTGCTAAATGAAGACTAGATGTAAGAGCTTTTTTCTGGCTCTATACTCTGCATTAAAGCATTGAAAGGCTTTCTTCTGCATTTTTCTTACATTAGCTCAGAGTTTGCATGTCCCTGTTTTTGTATTACTAACTTCAAAATGTATCTAACAGTTCAAGAATTACTGTTAGATACTTTACTGTAACTACTTCTATAGTGCTTTGACTTGGTAGATCAATGGACAGTAACAGAAGTTCTCCACAATTACTATTGCAGACTGTAAATCCAGAAAATATGAACAAGAATTCAAAACACAGAGAAAGTGTTTTATGGATGTACGCCAAACCATAGGCCGCACGTGGAGTCATAATATGGATTACATATTCAAAGAATTAATCATGTAGAAAATATTTACAGATTTTATTCACAAGATTCAGGACTTTTTTTTCTTAATTTGTTTTACTTCAGCAGCTTTTAACTGCTTATGTCCTGTTTGTAATTTGGCTAGAAATGAATGTGGATTAAGACAATACTGTCCAGATACCCATGCACTGCTCTGGCAATGGTGATGGCTTAATATTTGAGTTGGATTGTTTGTTACCACAACTTCTGATTGATGGGTCCCCTTTTGTCCTTGGCCAGCCCCACCACTACCATGTAAAAAAAAATTAACACATTCTAGTGAGAGACAAGTTCCCTGACGATGGGCTCCAGCACAAGTCCAAAAGCTCAGAAGACTAAAACCTCTGGTCCTGGTGACCGGCCAGATTGGATCCTAAAAAAAATAAGTTTTACCATTTTCTTGTCACTACTTGGATAGAAGGGAAAGTGGCAGAACTTTAAAAACAAACAAAAACAAAGGTAGTTTAAACTTGCTCAATTCCATTGATAAATGGGAAGGGAGAGAGGAAGGAAGGAAGGAAAGAAGGAAAGAAAGAAAAAAAAGAAAGAAGAAGCAAGTCCAGTTTTCAGCCTTTGACCTGTGAACTTGTTAAAGAAAATGACAATGTGAGCAACAAAAACAGTGATTGAGAGTACATCTTCCCTACGGAACACAACAGCTGATTGGAGAAGAGGGGTCTTGGTTTTGAAAACATATAAACCAGGCAGCATGGACTGAACCAATGCAGATGGAAAACAGTTTTTGACAGAAAGCCAGAAAACATGGCTGGAGGTTACATAGGAGTAGATTGAGGATGATACGCCCTCTGTAAATGGTGCGTGGGTTATGCTCACACTGGAGTAAACTGGACATATGGATCTGTCCAGAGATTGACTCACTTTCAAAGACACAGCAGCAACCTTTTTTACACAGCAATACTAAACATCTTCACTGCACACACATGGAAGAATCGCTCTTTACCCATCTGTGACACAAATCTGTCTTTCTATCAATCTCTAGGTTGAATATACTCAATCTGGCATTAGTTATCGAAGTGGGAAGAGGTGCCACCAGTGGGAGCCTCTATTGTAGGATAATGGCTTGAGTGTTGAACTACAAACAGGCTGACACAGGTTCAGATCTGCACATATTCAGTATCTTCCAATATTTTTATGGATACAAAATAGAGCAGGAAAATAACTTGATTTATTAATTTTATTTATAGGACCAGCCGATTGCCTAGTGGTTCAGTAATACAGGATGTTTTGCTCTTCTGGAGAAGGATAAGATAACAATGTAATGAATAAAAACAATAATTTATTCTTAGATACATGGTTGTTCAAAAATGAGAGTTTTTAAACTTCATATTGGGTACCCCCCTCTCCTCCAAAATTAATGGACTGAGTTCCCAAGTTTGGTCTTTCGTTCATTATTAAATCACATTTGGATGGAATCATTTTCCAGACTCAGCTAGGGAAGAGAAAGAAACAGATTTCAGTGATCTTTCTCTTTCTTTCTTTCTTTCTTTCTTTCTTTCTTTCTTTCTTTCTTTCTTTCTTTCTTTCTTTCTTTCTTCCTTCCTTCCTTCCTTCCTTCCTCCCTCTCTCTCTCTCTCTCTCTCCTTCCTTCCTTCCTTCCTTCCTTCCTTCTTCCTTCCTCCCTCCCTCCCTCCCTCCCTCCCTCCCTCCCTCTTTCTTTCTTTCTTTCTTTCTTTCTTTCTTTCTTTCTTTCTTTCTTTCTTTCTTTCTTTCTTTCTTTCTTCATGTCATGTTACCTGCACAATAGAGTTCAGAAGAATCCTGAAAGATCATACATGAGCATTGTAATGATGTTCACCATTCTATCATTGCTTCCAAGATTTTCCTGCCAATTCGCAATTTGTCAGTGTCAACTGTGATCCAGGAATTTTGACAGCCCCAAACTGGAAGCCATACAGGTAGTCCTCTTGACTTTCAACAGTTCATTTAATGACAGTTCAAAGTTACAGTGGCACTGAAAAAAAGTGACTCATGACCGTTTTTCATGCTCATGATCATTGCTGCAACCTCCTGGTCATGTGATCAAAATTCAGATGCTTGACAGCTGATTCATATTTATGATAGTTGCACTGTCCTGGGATCATGTGATCACCCTTTGCGATCTTCTGACATGCAAAATCAGTTGGGAAACCAGACTCATTTAACAACCCTGTTACTAATTTAACAATTGCAGTCATTCATTTAACAACTGTAGCAAGAAAAGTCATAAAAATGGGACAAAATTCACTTAACAGCTATCTCACTTAGCAACAGAAATTTTGGGCTCAATTGTGGTTGTAAGTTGAGGATTACCTGTATTTTGTTTTTGGCTTCTAAGTCTGTTAGAAGAGAAATGAGGCAATTTCTGGATCACATGTAACACATCGTGCTAAACAAAGTGCAGAAATAGCTTCTTTGGTTTCTTTAGTTGCTTAACTAGCAGGAACAGTCAACTGGGAGCTCCTTTATGATCTCATAATTCTTTGAAAGTGCCTTTGTTTTCTACCCTGTGGTTGCCATTTGTTCCAAATAGGGCAGGAAAGTGAAATATTGTATGCAGGACAATACTGCAGTGTGGATGAAATCTGTATTCCATCTCATAGTTATGTTTTTCAACATCCTCCATCTGTCTTAATATGAGGGCAATTTGGAAATAAGCCTCCATTTGGTTATCAATGACAGACACTCGCAGATACAGAACTTTTATTATACACATTAGAAAACTACAACATTATATTACTTTTCAACATAATCGCCATTCAAATTGAGGCACTTGTCATAACATCTTATAAGGTTTGAAATTCCTTAGTAGTAGTCGCTCAGTGCCAAATCAGGGCTGTTGGGGGGGGTGTGTGATCAAAAACATCCCAATGGAACTGCTTCTAAACACCACACCAGAAGTCAGCATGTCCCTACCATTGCTATGGATGGCTTGTCTGAGTTTTCATAACGTTTCACAGTGGACTTCTAAATTGATGGTCAAACCACGCTCCATGAACTTTACTAGCAGTACTACTTTGGCATCTTCACATTTGGCGGGATTTTCTATGGCACCACTTCTGGTGTGGTGTTGGTTCAAAATAATGCTCGCCCACACACCACTACACTCACCCAAGAACTTTTGAAGCAGTTCCTTTGGGATGTTTTTGATCACCCCCCCTCCCATAACCTAGATTTGGTGCTGAGCAACTACTACTAAGGAATTTCAAACCTTGTAAGACATTATGACAAGTGCCTCAATTTGAATGGCGATTATGTCAAAAAGTAATGTAATGTTGTAATTTTTTAATGTGTATAATAAAAGTTCTGAATCTGGGAGTGTCTGTCACTGATAACCAAATGGAGGTTTATTTCAGAATTGCCTTCGTAATTGGCATTTTGCAACTTACTGTCATGGATTTACTAAGTTAGTCACCTCAGTTATTGTTTCCCCTATGTTCTTGATTCTTCTTTCACTTGTTTTTGAGTGTACACTTCCTAAAGCCAAACTTCAAAATGCAATTTGGAGAGACAAGCTCCTATCCCTTTCCTCAAGTTGAGATGTGATAGAGGGACTATGTCAGATTCTGAATTCACATTGTATTTTGGAAGAAACCCAAGGCCAAAGAAAAGACATTGCCACTTGAAAAAAAGAATAATTAGCAGCAACCAGAAACAATGCCAACCAAAGTGCATGGGTTCATATTTATCATATTTGATATATGCAATGGGTAAGCAAGATTAATGAATCCAGATTTCAGTGGTGGCAGGAGTAGTCTCTTTGAAATCAGTGGAACAAGTTATTCACTATTAAGTGTATTAGTTTCTATGAAAGTACCATTTAATAATCAAATATATCAAAGAATATTGCAGATCATGTTTTTAGCAGAATATTTCTTTTTGGCTATTTCATTTGAGTTTCCATAGTAATAGATATATTACATATCAGTGAATATCTAATGTTGCTCATATTCAGAGCAAGAGAAGACCACTTTAATGAGATTCTTTTATTTGAATTCCTGTTCTGAGCAGGGTGGGTTGGACTGGCTTTTTGATTCTAAGACAATGAATACTTAACACTCTAAGGAAGAAAGAAATTAGATTTCCCTCTCCCCCGCTTTTAAAATAGATGATATTCAGCTTCTTAAAGATATATCTAAATGGGAAATTTCTTAGCTTTGCAAAGCATTAGATACAGATGCTTGAGATGCTTGTTCCTGAATCTTTTAACTTCAGAAGAAAGGGTCTGTTGATTTTTTTTTAAAGAAAAGGCCTCAAACTTCCACCAAAACCTGGTTTTTTCAAGAAGTTTGAATGAACTGGATGATTTCAGAAAAAGATGAATTAATTTTCTTCTTCTCTTTTGTTTTTCCACAGAAGCAAGCTATGCAAATAGCACCAGAATTCCTCTTCCTGGTGACAGCCCAGCACTCCAGCCGAACAACACAGCACCTACCAAGCAAACTGTGCTATCTTGGCAAGCTGCAGTTGATGCTGCTAGACAAGCTAAGGCTGCCCAAGGCATGAGCACCACCCCAGCTCAACCTGTAGGATCTCTGTCCCAAAGAAAGCGTCAGCAATATGCCAAGAGCAAAAAACAGGGTAATACATCCAATAGTCGGCCAGCCCGTGCTCTTTTCTGTCTATCCCTCAATAACCCACTCCGAAGAGCCTGCATTAGTATAGTAGAATGGAAGTATCCTTTCACTGGGAGTTTGTTTTATCTCCTGTTCTTTGAGGATTTGAACTTCATATCAGAAAGACACACTTGGGCTCACTCTCTAGAATGGAAGGAATTCAGTACTTTTTAGTGGGTTTTTTAAGAGCAACATCAATCAACCTGGGCAAACTGCAAGTTAGCATGAATAAATTGTGATCAAAGAAAGGCCTTCCTTTTTGAAGATATGGCCAGGATGTTGATCAATTCATATACTTTAGATCTTTCTCTCCCATGGCTGAGACTGGCTGTGGGATCTTTCAAGGGAGATAATATGCTTGATGATTAAGGTCTCCCTCAGTGAGGAGGTAGTGCAATAGCGAGAAAATATAGGGGTATATTTCTTATTGAAAGAACCATTCCTTTTTGACAATACAGGACATTTCTGAATTTGTCACTTCTGGTCAATGGGACTGAGCAAGTGATAGCTGGGTAGCTTTAGCCACGTCTGATTGAAACTGATTTATTGGACCCATTTCAGTTGGATTTCAGGCCTAAGTAGAGCACAGAGACTGCGTAGTCACCTTTATTGAGAGAGTGTGACAAGGGTAATATGCCTTTTCTTCTGATCCTGGAGGCTTTGGCATTTTTTCATACCATTGACTCTGGTATCTGTGACTGCTTTTGGGAGCTGATGGTGTTATTGTACAGTTTTTATTCTATCCCTCATGCTTCTTAACATCCATATGAAGCTGCTAGAAGTGATTGCAAGAAAGTGTAGGGCTGGGTGCCAGGCAGGCTACCTGTTTCCATTTTTATCATATATCCAAGGCTCTGTTGGGTTCATGCCTGGGACCAAATTACAGACTAGGACAACCATAATAGACAAATGTGGAATGAAGGCAAGACAGAAGATTTGAGGGTATGGATGATATCTTAGCTGCACTAGGCGATATTTCTTCTCCTTGAAGAAATAATATGCTATTGGAAGTGCTGATTTTCCTTGGCAGAGTATGACAGCATCTTTTGCCAGACTGAAATCATATTGTCCTTAAAGTGTTTATTGCAGGTACTGACTGGCCACCCTTGACTAGGACAAGGGCTTTCTCAATGATAGAATCATCAGTATGGAGTTCATGACCCACAGAAGTCTAAAATCCTCCATATCTGCTTTCTTTTAAGAGTCTAAAAACTTATTTCCACTCATTTTTTAAAAAAATATTTAATTAATTTTGGATTTTTTAAAGTGTTGTTTCAATCTTTATCGTTTGCTGCCATGGTAGACTTACTAGAATGTGTGGGTTATAAATATGATAAATTACCCTTCCCTTCCTAATTAAGTTCAGCCCAGTATCAGCCGTTCCAAGCTAATGTTTCTTATGTCCAATGACCTGGCAGTAAGTCCCATTAAATAAGCGGTAATTACTTCATAGAAGAAGTGCAAATAATACAATGTATGTTTCTAATTTCATTTAAATTAATGTATGCATTCAGTCAGTGTTGAGTTTTCAGTGGAATTTTATGCATGAATTGCATCTTTCATAAAATATCCGTGATTTTTTCTTATTGGACATAGCTTTTTCTTAGATTGTTCTCCCTTAAAAACTGACCACTTTGTGCATATGTAAAATTGATGTACACAAATTGGATTAGATACAAAAATTCTATAGAAGAAGGAGCATTTCCATCAGTGGAATGGAATTTTTGGATTTAACCCAATGTACTTTATAGTTATTATAGTTGGATACTGTTTCAACTGAGACAGCATTTACTGGGCATATTTTGAGGACAATCAGCATTTACTTATTTACGTCATTGTATGCTGCCCAATCCCATAGATCAGGGGTTTGCAACCTGGACAACTTTAAGACTTGTGGACTTCAGCTCCCAGAATTCCTCAGCCAGCATAGCTGGCTGAGGAATTCCTGGAGCTGAAGTCCACAAGTCTTAAAGTTGTCAAGGTTGCAGACTCCTGCCATAGATTCTAGGAGGCTAATAATCTGATCATAAAATGAATCATCCTTCTAAAAGAAACCCCCCCCCCAAATATACTCTCAGTATTTCAGAATTAGAATGAAAACCAGAACATCCATATAATTTGCTACCTCTATGCTCTCTGGATTGCAAGGCTAGCAGTGAATGCTACTAAGATTATCCCAAGTTGCATGAAGGTTTCTTAAAGTGACAGGAACACCCCTCACTCAAAGAAGTATTGATTACTGCTCAAATCCAACTTCCTAGCACTTCATGGGAGATGTTAACCAACCATAAAGAGCAGTAATCAAATGAAAATCGATGGTCATAATACTATAGATAGTCCTCTCTGCTTCCTCAAGATTGGCAGGCTCAAATCATTCCATATGGCTTCCCAGGATGAAGACTCAGTCATTTCTATTGTTATTATCCAGATGGAGTCCATGTCCTCTTAAATCTGAGTGGTTTTATTGGACAAATGCCCACCAAATTCACTCAATATTTAACTAGAGATTGCAAATAGGGATGGAAGAGCAAATGATGTCATTGCATTGTGACATCATTATGGAAATGATCCAGATTGTATAATTCATATTATTGGTTTTATGACATAATCACAATCTGGGTCATTTCCATGATGATGTCACATGACACAAAGCACATGACATCATTTATTCATCCATTCCTCTTTGCAATTTTCAAAGTATCTGAAGAACTAATTTTAAGAATTTGAAGTCAGGTAACAATATACATCAGGGGTGTCAAACTGCCGGCCCACGGGCCAGATGCATCATGGCAAAACTGCACCCACCCTATTGCTGGCAATGGAAAAAAACCACGATATGTCATGACACGTCACGTGACGTTGCAAGTTTGACGTCCCTGATATACATAATAGAGAAGAGTTGGCTTCTAATTAGTTTGTTGTGATTTTTTTGGGATAAAGTAGTAACCAGAGGTGTTTTTAAGGAGATATGTGGAAAAGGATCAAAGTATCAACTATATATCAATTACACCAAGAGGCTCACTGTCATCATTTTGTCAATGTGTTATGGAGTATGATGGGGGCTGAGTTTGCATCATGATTGCATAAGGCCTTTTTTGTCATTGACAAAAGTGCTGAATCCTGCAGGTGCCTCTGATAGTAAGTGATGTACCTTTGCATCTATTATGCTCATTCTCAGTAATAGAAAAGTTTGATTTAGTATTTGGTATCTCAAAAATAAGTACAGGGTAGTGATTAAATTGTTGAACTAGGGCCAAGGAGATCCATGTTGAAATCTACCCTGAGCCATGAGTATTCTTTGGGTTCTTCATTCTTTCTCAGATGAATCTACCTCATAGATTAGCTGTTGTGAGGGTGAAATGAAAGAATAGTAGAGCAATTTCACTATTATTGGAAACAACCTGATGTCTAATGATTTTGAAGCCTTATCCTGTTGACTGAATCTTTGGTAGGCTGGAAATGAAGATGAGAGATTCTTGCTTTGTACTACCTTTTTCCTGGTTTTTCTTTGATGGGAACTATGGGCACTTAAGTCCAATAAATTTGTGAGTAACTAGGTAGGAATAGCTTGATATAGACATCTCTGGCTTGGTATTATTCTGTTACTTGTATTCGAGTTCCATTAGTACTAGTAACAATGGATAGACGCGGAATAGCAAAATTATTTGAAAACATTTTATAATGATTAAGCATTACTGATTAGATATATATATATGCAAGCTACACTATTTTTTTAAAACTGTACTATGAAAAACGTGATGTGAAGTAATAAGAAACTGAAAGGCCCTAGTGCTCAAAGACAATCTAACACGGGAACATAATTGTCTGTGGAAGTTAGCTGTCACTTTCATCAATCACAAAACAAAATAAAACAATGGGAGCATGCTATTTTAACTTCAGAAAGACATTTCTTGTATATAATGAAAAAAATAATGCAAAATAGTATTATGACAAATATTTATATGTCTATAACTGAATGTTCCTTAACAAGATCTTTAAGACCGTTTGACATATTTATATTACTGGCTATTTTTGCCAATTGTGTGGCCTTAGCTGTTTACATCCCATTTCCAGAAGATGATTCTAATTCAATAAACCATGATTTGGTAAGTAGGATTTTTACCTTTATATTTAAAATGTATTTTAAATATTTTAAAATTTTAAAATTTAATTTTTTAAAATTTGCTCAGGCTCCCCTTAAAAGTTAGAAAGAATTATTTAGTCAGGTGAAAAAAGTGATTCAACATTTAAACATTAAATGTATTACTTTGGTTGTAAGTTCTGATAGGCATCTTCTGGTTTCTGAAACAACAAGATGCATTACCAGGAAAATGGTAATTGGATTTATAGGTGGCTGCTGTTTAATCTTACATGCTGTTTGCTGTGTCAGTGCTCTCTGTTGTTTTATATCTGGCTATCACATGAACTTTTATTTCTCTATTCATTTTGTTTTGATTGCCTCCTTGCTATCAATAGAAAATATTGAATATATTTTCAAGGCAGGAATAATATTCCAGAAAATAACTTATATGTATAATTGCCTTCCTAATCAGATAATCAGAGGTTGGTTACATTAGGAAGAATGCTGTTCCTTTAAAGGAAGTGTGTTAGCAAGAAGATATTCATATAAATAGATGTATGTTAAAATTATAAACTTTGCTCCTGCTAGCAGAAAGTGTTTTCCAAGCATGGAGGATGGTTTCTCATTTAACAGAGAAGGCTTGAAGGAAAACATTTTTTTCCAGAGATTGCATCAGTTTTATGTACATTCATAATATTTTTTATTGAAATAAAAATAAGATAAACTAAGGAAAATATTAAAAATAAAAAAATAAGTGCAAAAAAAGAAAAAGAGGGTAAGGGAAAAGGGAAAATAAATAAAAGACAAATAACAACACACATATAAATTCATTCTAGAACAGGGGCGTCAAACTCTCAATGTCACGTGATGTGTCGCGATGTATCGCAACTTTTTTTCCATTGCCGGCAATGGGGTGGGCGTGGTTTCGCCATGATGCATCCGGCCCACAAGCCGGCAGTTTGACACCCCTGCTCTAGAAGAATTTAAGGATATTTGGGAACAATGTACATTGAACTTACTGTCTGATGCAATAAAAACAGGCTTAAAAGAAGAGATAGAAGACAATGTAATCCAAAAGCAGTCTGTTTGGACATAGATTTAAAATTGACAGGATACGAGGATGATATTGACAAAAGGTTATACAGAACAGGACTTACAAATGAAACTGGATGACGTTTTAATAGTTAAAAGTGACACACAAATAATAAATCAGAAGAGTGACTTTGACTTGGGCAATAGTCTTACTTTGGATTTACAAAAAAATGTGTTATACTTATGAAGGAATTTTTGAGGAAAGGAAAAGAGAGAAGAAATCCGTTTTGGGGATGTTACTAAAAGGAATAATCAAGACCTTGAAAACAAAAGTTAATGAAGTTGATTTATTCTATGAAGGTTAAACTGTCTATGTTCCTTTTTTTAAAGAGCTGTTAATGGGTTTTTCTTGACTAGGACTCAGTGAAGAGACTCTTAAGATTTGTTAGTAGATATGAAATGGGAAGAACAGAGTTTTGTTGTATTTTTTTTTAAAGAAAATGATAATTTATGGTATTAAAATTGAGGGGAGGTGAAAAGAAGATGATAACTTAATTTGTGGGATATCATTTGAAGGGATTAAATATTAATATTTAATGTGTTTCTAGTAGCTCTTAATGGATTTTTTCTTGATTAAGATGGAATGATGAACTTTTAAACTTTTGTTTATAGATATAAGACATAGGAAGGTTTTTCTTCTTTGTGTTTTTAGATAAAATGACATGGTATTGTGTAAAGAAAGAGAAAGAAATACGAAATTGGTTTACTTATTTAAAGTTAATATATGTATATTGTTATTTCTGGTAGCTCTTAATGGAGTTTTGCTGATTCAGATTGAAAGATGAGGCTTTATTTGCCAATAGATAAAATGTGAGATATGGGATGAAGAGATTTTTGGCTGAAATAATTAGATAAAGTGTTGAATTATTGTAAATTTTTGTACTTGTCTTGATGAAAGACGAAGGCATTTTTTCAATGCTGTGTACATTCATATAATATGCTTACAGCCAACTATGATTTCATTGAAATTTTGCCTAGAGATTTCTCAACTCAAGTGTACAGTTGTGAAGTATCTATCCATGGCTTGCTTTTAGGTTGCTGGGTCTTCCAGGTGGAAAATGATAGTTTCTTTTGGTTGCAATGTGCCAGAAAAGAAACATGCAGCTGGTTTTAAGCTCCTCTTTGTGGCTTGGTCCATCGTGAAGAAACCATTGGGCCATTTTCAGTGCTAATCATGGCAAGTGAAAAACAAACCAATTATGACTGATAACTACCATGCACAACTAAGAGCAAAATGGCCATGCTTTTCAACCAAAATTGATACACTGTGCCTAGATAGGTGGTAGTAATCTCCACAGAATTTAATAGGATGTTTTTAATTAGATTTGCATTGTTGTTTGTGATGTAACTGCAAAAGATACCCCAAAGATTTATGGTTTTATGACAAATGCAATTTTTTTAAATATCCTGCACTTATTAAATGAATATAACTACTGGAAATTTTTATCGCTATGCTGGCCTTTCAAAAGTGGCTGCAAAATTAAAGGTGTTAATTTAAAATATTAAAAGCCATATTGCACTGCTGTACCCTTTTGTATGTATGTATAACATTGTGATACTGCTTTCATTATTTGACTCCTCTTGCCCCTCCCCATACCTCTGTGGCTTTTCCCACTATAAATCAAACTGCTGATGTACTATAATGACACCCCCCCATACCTATACCATACCATACCTTACCATACTGCATTGTACAATTTAACATATTAAGAACTAGTTTGGTGTAGTGGTTAAGGCAGACATGTCAAACTCACGACGTCATGTGACGTCGCGTGACGTATCGAAGCTTTTTTCCCATTTCCGGCAATGGGGTGAGCATGGTTTCCTGGTGACACGTCCGGCCCATGGGCCGGCAGTTTGACACCCCTAACAGGCATCAGGCTAGAAACCAGGAAACCATGAGGTCTTGTCCCACCCAAGGCAAAGCCAGCTGGGTGACCTTGGCCCAGTTATTTTCTCTCAGCCTTAGGAAGGACAAAAGGGCAAACCACATCTGAAAAACCTCAGAAATTGGACACAACCGAACAGAAGGAAAAAAATGACAATATTACCATATTATGAGTATGGCAATACTTTGTAAGAAGGATTCCATTTGTGTGTAATTATACCAAGAATTCTAATGCTGCAGAGTTATTTCATATTCTCTTGCTTTGGATTCAGTCATGATCCTGAGACAATGGAAGTAACCATGAATATTCAGTGATCAAAAATCTGTGATGTGGCACTAATTCAAAGACTTGTCCTAGAAGCATGTGACACGACTATATCTATTATACAATGAATTGTTTCTGGAAAGCCTTCATTTTCGAATGCCTTCTGTATCATGTGGTAACTTTTATGTAGAAGATAATTGAAAACAGAGAGGATTTAAAGTAAAGCTGCAGCAGTTTAAATGACCATTTAAAACCAGCCATCTAATGGTCTGATTTGATGCCATAGTGGTCATCCAGATTTGGGAGCTCAGAATTGGAGAAGGAGGCACATTATTGTTACTTTAAATATAGATATTTGAATAATTCTTAACAAGTTGATAGTCATGTTTTGTTGATTGTATTGCTGCTTTCTGGAGATTCTGTCTCTCTGTCTATTTATCTATCTACCTAGCTACAATGTAACTATTATACATCTGATTCCTACATCATTTAACTGTAATATTGTGTGACAACATTTTATTATAGCATAAGCCTTTGAGAACTGCCACCTTTTTCTTGGGATGCATAAAGTCATATGCAGATAAAACCTGATAATACTGCATGAGTGTAGTGACAGCACTTCATTATATTCACAAATGCTTAATGCAGTAATACATTCATGGAGCAGGGAGACTGTATTATTTGCAATGTGGACAAGTACAGATCTCTATGGATGTTAAATACTTGCAAGAAGCATTTAAACCTTGATACAACAGTAATGGGCCTTATTCAAGATGACAATGACGGTGCTTACCGCAAGGAGGTTGAGGACTTGGTGAACTGGTGAAAGGAGAACAGCCTAGTTTTAAACATTGGAAAAACCAAAGAGATCATTGTCGATTTCAGAAAAGGCAGGCACAGCCACACTCCTCTGTGCATTAATGATTCACTTGTGGAGATGGTTACCAGCATCAAATTCCTGGGTGTGTAGCTAACGAGTAGGCAGGCTTGGTTGCTCATCAGCGAGACACTGGTGAAGCGGGCACAACCTGCATTTTCTGAGTCACATGAGAAAAGCACATCTTCCCTCCCCTGTCCTTATCACTTTCTACAGAGGGACAATTGAGAGCATCCTATCATACAGCATCACAGTCTGGTTTGGAAGCATCACTGCTTCAGACAGGAAGGCGGTGCAGAGAGTGGTGAGGATGGTTGAAAAGATTATTGGCAGTTCCCTCCCTTCCATCCAGGGCATAGCATACAAGCACTGCTTGAGCAGAGTCTGCAAGATTGTCTGGGACACTACACATCCTCTTCACGACCTGTTTTCCTTCTGGGAGGAGGCTTCGTGGTAGAACATCCAGTTTTGTTCCATACAATATTAACCTTGTGAACTCTAAAACTTCCTCCTTCCGTTATGTATTCAAGATGGGCAGCGATTAATATTTATGTGTTACTTATATGTAAGGGTGTAAATCTATACATATGTTGTATATAGTATGTTTAAATGTGTGTTATGTATGTGTACAGTTTGAGAGCAAACAACTAAATTTCATTTTTAATGTGTGCCATTGTGCCCACAGTAAAAAATGGCAATAAAGGTTATCTATTATCTAAACAAAGAAGTAGTATTCAGAAATTTCTGACAGGCAGTTTTAATTCTCATATCAAAGTCTGAGAGGTGTATATAGGGAATGGCTGGTTTTAAATAGCCAGTAGAAAATAATGGTTTGATTTATTGAAAAATAATCTGTGTATATTTTTGTACAAAGAAGACACTATTGAAAAGCCATTTAAAACG